ATTTGAGAAACACTTCGATTAAAGTCCGTTCAACCTTGAGAAGGGTCTGTTCAAACACAAGTTGATTTTTCTGATTTTTCTTTCAAAGATTTTAAGGTAAGTTTGTTTTCTCTTCTTTATTCCAGTTCGTGTGTTTGTTAAAAGTCTATTCGTATGGCCAAACATCTTGTTCAAATTGTGTTTTGAATTTTACCAACTGTTTTTTTTTTCACACCTTGCCTGGACCTCTGTATTTGATCAAATGCTTCCTCATTCACTGATAATGTGTGTGTATGTAAACTGCATAATTGACTGAATTGAAATTGTTTGAGTAATCAATCCCCAAGTTAACCTCTGTATTGACGAGTGCAATCTGACCCGTTGTTGATACTGTTTGATTCTAATCCTTGTNTGATTTTTTTTGAACCCTAGGGTTCCTTGTGCCTATTCCGTGCCTGTTTAAACCAAGAGATTAGGGTCTAATGGACCTTAATCGAAGTGTTTCTTGAGAAACACTTCGATTAAAGTCCGTTCAACCTTGAGAAGGGTCTGTTCAAACACAAGTTGATTTTTCTGATTTTTCTTTCAAAGATTTTAAGGTAAGTTTGTTTTCTCTTCTTTATTCCAGTTCGTGTGTTTGTTAAAAGTCTATTCGTATGGCCAAACATCTTGTTCAAATTGTATTTTGAATTTTACCAACTGTTTTTTTTTTTCACACCTTGCCTGGACCTCTGTATTTGATCAAATGCGTCCTCATTCACTGATAATGTGTGTGTATGTAAACTGCATAATTGACTGAATTGAAATTGTTTGAGTAATCAATCCCCAAGTTAACCTCTGTATTGACAAGTGCAATCTGACCCCTTGTTGATACTGTTTGATTCTAATCCTTGGCTTTGATTGTATATGTTGTAATTAGTATAGTCGATTCGATACATGTCGTCAAATAGTTTTAGCTGTTTGAATGGTAACAGCTTGATTTGTCTTGCTGAACATTGTTTGAATCAAATTGAGAATCAACTATAGCTACTCACAATTGATGTATTTGAATCAGAAATATAAAGTGATTGGTTTTGTTTAGTTGCAGTCAGAATTGGAGGGCATGTGCACTTGTGCACAACATGTGCATAAAGGCCCTTTTGGATTAAAATAGTTTGACAGCACATACTGTCAGATTATATTCTTGCTGTCCATGGCCTATTTTAGTTTAATAAATGTTAAAAGGGGACTGTCAGGGAATATGATGGGGGTTCCTAATTTTAAAAGTTTGAGTGGAAAAAACAGCTAAAAAGGAATAGTTTCTGAGGTGTTCGAACAGGCTGGGGAATTGCCTAATGTTAGGCTTATAAAGGGGGGGATAGACAAGACACACGGGGGGATAGACAGAGGGAACTGGGATTGAATATTGAGAGTTGAGTTCTGAAAAACAGAAAACTGGAAAAGAATTCTTCTTGGTAACTCAAGTAGATTTAAAAACTGAAAATTGGCACTGGATTTTGAAAAGAAAAGAGATAGTGAGAAAAAATAGAGGGGCTTATACAGACACACATACGAGAGAGAAAAACATACAGAAATCAGAAACTGTTTTCTTCTTCCTGCTGTTTGTTCGATTCTCAGTTTGTTCAACCTGTTCAGTCAGTTCTGTTTTCTTTCAAGTGTCAGCTGAGTTTATTGGTTGGTTTGCATTGGTTGATTCTCTTGGAATTGGTTTGTCTGAATTCTGATCCTACTCCCCTGCTTATTGTTGTCATTTTGCTGCCTCTTTCCTCGTCTATAATTGCATCTTGCACTGGAATTTGTCCTGCTGCTATTTATCTGTTACTGCTGCTGTTTCGTTTACACTGCTGCTCAACTGACTCCCCTGCTTTCTTCATTGTAAGCGTCTCCTCAGGTACACATTTCGAATCTGTCTGATGTAACTGATGTCGCAATGAAAGTTGAATCGAAAGATCTGAAGGAATTATAATCATCTGTTGCTTCACTTATAAATTTTTATAAATGTTGTCAAGCTGTGTAAATTTTAGTTTGTTAGTCTAATAGAGAATACTTTAGTAAGTTTGTACCTAATTAAAGTTTATGTTGATCTGAAACTGCGACATTTGATTCGTTTAGTAGTATACATGATGTAAATACAACCCATGGAATGTGCAACTATTTAACACGATTGTTAAAATTAAACTCACTCTTTTAGCATGCTTTGAATAAGTAAGGGCAAATGGCTGTTAAATCTAGCCAAATATAATACAGTCTTGAATCACCCAGTTTCGGTTTCTTTAGGCAGTTTATAAAACGAGTTTTGAACATCATCGGTAATATCCTTTAATAAGGAATTCTATTAATCCTGTTTAAGCAAGTTAATTTAAATCCGACTTAAGGATGTCGTTTGGATTAAGTGTTGTATTTCGTCAATCTCGTATGTAACTTCTTTGTCCAATTAAAGCATGTTTCACAAGGTATGACGTCTCTCCTTTTTATAAATAATTAATCAGAAATTGATAAGGATTCGGGTTAGGTTAAAGCATATACTTGAATTAACATGTGTCTTTCTTCTTCTATTTTTAGAGACAAACGCATTTAGAAATGTAGTCGCTTTAGGATATCCTTTCTAAGATAGAGACGAGCCTCGCCAAATAAAAATGCAAATTGCGGGGTCCTCAATAACTAACCATAATAAATATTTAGAATTCAGGACAGGCCGTTTAGTGAATTTCATGGCCTTCCCCAAAAATAATAACGCGTTAGACTCTTTAGGCGCGGCTTAATTAAATTA